CCCCCCCCCCCCCACCACACACACAGACACACACACACACACACACACACTCAGACGGGCCCCAACACACACCAATAAGAGCTCTGCCCTCAGACTATTGCCCAGGTTCACAACTCAGGGTGTCTCTTTAGTCTCTAACAGGGTTACACATGAATGGAAACAGGCCCAAATCACAGTTTTAAGCTGTAGGAGTGCAGAAGCGGGGGGGGGGGGCAGGACCACCCCACTGAGCTTGTTCTTTCCCAGTGTGTATACATTCGAGAATAAATGGCACCAGGACATCTTTAAAGGCCCGACTGGACACCACTGGGGGAGTTTTGCTGCTTTGAGATTGGAGTTTGGTTCAAACTCTTCAAAATCTTCTCAAAACTTTAAAGAATTTGAACGGAGCAGCAAAGCTTTCACGTGCACATGGTTTCTAAATGGAGTTATTTTCCTCACAAGCTGTCATCAAGATGCTCTGAATGCATCATTTGTGACAGTCTCAAGCAAATCAACTTAGAAACTCTGATTCAAAATGAAGCCCCATGTGAATTTGGACAAATTGTTACAAGTCTTAATGATTTAATGAGACTAAAACGGGGAAACTGAACCTCAGACCCCACGTTGAGATGATGTATGACTCATGAAGCAGGTAACTGCCACGTGAGCAACTCTGCTGGCTAATTGGAAAATCAATCAAATAAGTTTCAAGTAAAAAAAAAGTCATGAAAAAGCTGGACTGAGAAGTCCAGTTTCTTACGCATGGAGTTTGATGCTCTAAAATAACCAGTGAGTTGTGGTAAGAGTTAAAAGAAAAGAAAATAACAAGAAAAAACATGCTTAATGGGCTTTTAAAGTTGCCATTTGATGCGTAAAAACCTGCTCACATGAACGCGTGGTAGATGAAGGCCCATCCTCTCGGCCTCTCCAGGACGTTGTAGAGGCAGTTCTGCAGCTTCCTGTAGCGCTTGCTGGCGGCGGACGCGTGCGCGCGCGGCCCCGGGGGTCCGGGCAGCGGGGTGCCCAGCAGCCCGGTGCGGTGCGACGGGGGCGCGCGCTCCGGCGTGGACGGCTCGCTCCGCTCCGCGTGCACGGCGGTGAGGGCCACGAACTCCACGCGCCTGTCGTCGCTCGGGGGCACGAGCATCCTGACTCCTCCGTTGTTGGATGGACTCCCTAACATCGTGGAAAAATGGACCCCCCCCCCCCCTTATCTCTCAGTGCACGCGGAGCTGATATCTAACCGGCTCATTGTCCCGGTTCCTGCTGGACGAAGTGGACTCAAACTGTCCGATTTCCTCTCTTTCCTTTTGTTTTTAGTTTTAGTCGAGGTTCGACAGTTATCTGCAAATCAGGTCACGGGCGCAGAAGACGGAGCGCGCGGTGGTTGGAGGAGCGCGCGGCGCGGAAACGAGACAAACGCGACCCGCGGGGACCATCGCTGAGAGTCAGAGTCAGGTGTGAGAGGCGGGATGCGCACGGGTCATCACGCGCGCGCGTCAACTCCAGGGAGAAAAAAAAACTTCAGATCTGAGATCACTTTGGAAGCGCCACAGCCGAACCAAACAGCATCTCCTCCTCCCGGCGCGCTTTGGAGAAAAGAAAAAAAGATGAGGAAAAGCAACTGCACGCGATGAGATCAGGGCAGAGCAAAGCCGGGTTGGTTCGGGTGGAGGTCCTCCTCAGACTCAGACTCAGCCTCTGCCAAACATCAGTATGGCGTCCGGAAGCGCAGCCCGACACTTTTCAAACTCCGCAACAAAAAAAAACGCCCAGTGGACGCAGAGAGATGCGCGCCCGCGGACGCGTGCGGAGGGGAGAAAAACTCTTTCCACCGGGCAGGGGGAGAAAGGGGGAAAAAAGAGCTCTGGGTGAGTGAGACAGCAGAGTCCGGCTCTTGTTTATTAGACTTTTTACGCAGACCTTTTACGCATAAATGACGATTGTGCGTCTTCGGTCCCCCCGAGAGCCAAAGTTTATCCGGCTGAATGAGTTTTTTAACGGTCCTGAAAGTGAGTCTGTGTCTTTTCTGTCGGTTGTGGGAGGAGGACCGGACCCGGTGGAGCAGCAGAGACAGGTGCCGGAGGACTGCCTCCTCCTGGGGACGCTTTTTCTAAATCTATGCAGTGACACACAGAGGGGATTGTGGTCGTGACACAGACGGGTCGCTCATGCAGGAATCCACTGGGAGGTGGTTCCCAAACCGACCGTATGATCACCAAAAGCTATTTTTAAAAAAATGTCTAGTTCATGGAGAGGTGTTTTTCATAAGAAGGCAGGATGGTGGTGCTAACTGTGCCAGTTGTTATTGGAAATGGCCCCTTACATAACCCAACACTCTAATCCTAAACTCTGGACTTAGTTTCTGGTCAGAGAGCCACCAGAGTGAGCTTTGAGGGGACTTTTTTATTCCAATCTGTGCACGGTTTTCTGAAAATGCCTTTTTTAGTATAAACTGGATGAAACCAAGAGTTCATTAGAAAAATGTGATGAATCATTTTGGCTGAAATGATCCTGAGGTGGGAACCTGCTGTGTAAGGGGGGTCAAAGTGTTATTTCTGTTGTTTTCATTTACTTTCTTTTCAGTAGACAAATCAGCTGGTCAAAACTCAGCGCTTCACAGTCAAAATGTGCAAAATTGTGCTCTCCGTGAGCCATCGCTTCCCAACTTCTTAACTTTTATTTAACCAGGAAAAGTCCCATTGAGATTAACAATCTCTTTTTCAAGAGAGTCCTGACCAAGACAGCGGCAACAGATTACAATACAAACTACATTACAGTTTACAATCACATCTATCTATAATTAGAAATTCATAAAACAGTTACAAACCATAGATCTCATTTCCAAACTTTTGAGCAATCGTTTAAAATGTCCGATTGGAATCAAATCCTTCAACTTCCAGTCTTTCTGAAGATTGTTCAGTGCTCTGGGGGCAGAGTACTGAAAACTGAAGCCTGTTTTTTCACTTTATTGTTTGTCGGTTTCACTGTCGTT